TTCTGCTTTCCCCTTGGATACCTCTGTCACTGATAGTGTATCTGATTAGGTGGCTTGGATACAAACACATACTACAAACATCACACATACAGTCACACACCACATACACAGTCACAAAACACATACAACATCGCATACAGCTACATACCAAATACACAGTGACACAAACATACACCATCACACACACATACACACACACGCTAAGTATACAAGACACAGAGCCACATACAGCATCACACACACACACACTACATATACAAGCATAGAACCACATACACCATCGCATACACCTACATACAAAATAAACAGTGACACAAACATACACCATCACACACACACACACTACATATACAAGACACAGAACACACACACCATCACACACACTACATGTACAAAACACACAGCCACACACAACATCGCATACAGCTACATACCAAAGACAGTCGCACACCACATACAGAGTAACACATACAGCCACCACATACATAAGACACAGGCATATTAATAACACATACATCCACATACAAAGTCACAAAACACATACACACATACACCATCACATACACAGCCACATACTACAGCCAACACATTGAAAAGACACATCCGTATATACACGACACACACACACATAATAAGAAAGCCATATACAAAAACACACAACCACATACATTATATGCAGACAGATAAATATAAAAAGTTGAAAACTTTTAAAAAATCAATTCAATCTCATGTAATTAAACTTAATGCAGATAGCATTGGGCAGTATGATAAATTATCCATTTTGTTATCCCAATCAAACAATAAATTATACTACTTTGATCACTACGACAGAAGTCGGCTCACTACAGATGCTCAAACAATCTGAGCGGGTCGTCATCAATAAATAATTAAAATCCCTTGTAAAACAATCATTTGGGGGTCAACGATCGGCTGATAAACAGTTCTGTCCAATACATCGATGTTGAGTGTGATGAGTTCATTGGAGCTTATTGTATAAAATAGTTTGTCAAGATTAGGTTAGAGTATACAAACCTAGAAAAGATATATGGATATATTTCAAAAAATGTAAGTTAATATATATATATATATATATATATATATATATATATATATATATATATATATATTCATATCATTTGTCCATGGTATATTATTTGTCCATGGTATCATTTGTCTTGATATATTTTGTCCTGGTATCTTTGTCCGTGAGATCATTTTTCCTTGAGATAATTTGTCCTGAGATCATTTGTCCTGAGATCATTTGTCCTGAGATCATTTGTCCTGAGATAATTTGTCATGGAAACAAATATATATATATATATATATATATATATATATATATATATATATATATATATATATAAGCTATATATAGACTATAATACATATAAATATATATATAGCCTATATAAATATATGCGTGTGTTTGTATCCGTGTGTATACGTGTGTGTGTGTGTGTGTGTGTGTGTGTGTGTGTGTGTGTGTGTGTAAAAATCAGCAGAAGACAAGTCTTGAAGATTCCAGAGATGACCTTTCTGGTAGTGAAGGTGGAAGAAAAAGACATCGAGACATATTTTTTTCCTTTCCGTCTAGTCGCCCCGGATACCGTTACCGCACGTCTTTCATCTAACAATTTATTCCTTGATTACATAATCGATGACAGAACCGTCTGCTGGGGGGAGGGGGGGGGGAACAGAGCCCTCGCAGGATCCTTGGACCAATTTTCTGGAACTGTTTTAATTAGAACAATGTAACAAAGATCTCTTGTTACACTTGCTGACGGGAATCACGTGGTTTATCTGGTCTAGACTGGTAGTTATGTAGCCGTAGATCCCTGTCTAGCTAATATCTATTTGTCGTGTGTGAAAAGCGTTGTTAGAATGGAAGGGGTGGGGCTGGGGGGGGGGGGGGACCACAACTGTTAAGAATGCATGGTTTAAACGCGATTTTGATGACCACGTGCTTTCAATGTGTAATCAATTAATCAATATAAATACTCTTCAAAAAGGATTATGGACAATATACAGATTCTCAGATTCTCCAGCCCCCCCCCCCCCCCTCCTCCAGGAAGAGCGACAGTACATGTTAATGTTTAATGTACGTTGCTGAAAGGTGTGCTTCTAAGTGCCACTGTACACGTAACAATACACCAATACCACAACACAAATTCCATCACAACAAGGCTACCAACAAACCACCAGCAAAAAAAAAGTACTACCACAAAAGCTACTATCACGAAAATCACTTACACAAAAATAAATAAGATTTCATAGTGTAGACAACATACAAAAAATCCCACCATCATAAAGCCTACTACAATCGATTCAGCCACAGGAGACAACACATTGTAGAAAACAATAAAAAAAACAATTACAAAAGTTTTAAATTATTCATAATCTTCCTGTTTCTTTGTCTACATCTAGATTTTAAGTATCAAGTAATTTTATTGTTAGAATTGTGATGGAAGCTAATGTTACAAACATCAACTTTGTCTACATCTAGATTTTAAGTATCAAGTAATTTTATTGTTAGAATTGTGATGGAAGCTAATGTTACAAACAACAGATTGACATTACCGATCAAGCTAACTTTTAACAGGCCAGGCTGTCTGTCTACAGGTAGTGCTACCTGCCTGCAGGTAGTACTACCTGACTGCACGTTGTGCTACCTGCCTACAGGTAATGCTACCTTCCTACAGGTAGTGCTACCTGCCGACACGTCATCATTTCAGCTTACAGGTACTGCTACCTGTCTTCAGAAAGTGCTACCTTCCTACAGGCAGTGCTACCTGCCTATAGGCAGTGCTACCTGCCTACAGGCAGTGCTACCTGCCTACAGGTTGTGCTTACCTTTCCTCTTGTCCTGTTTGTCTAGACAGCTGTAAAAATGTTCTTAAAACACTGTTGGTTTTAATTAGAAAACTAATAATTAGTTCCTTAATTACTGTCCAGATTATTGTTTTTCTTGTCATCATTAGCGTCAGTAAGAAAATCAGATGAGACAAGCTTTTTAAACAGCAGACGACAAAGTATTGTTTGTTGCAGATTTAGCAGACGACAAAGTATCACATTTGTTGCAGAATTAGCATCAAATGTCATGTGATCTGTTGTTTAATGTCAAGTTGTCGAGACAAACACTTGATTTATGACAAAAACTTGGACACGATTAAAACTAGTTTACGATAAAACCTTGGTCAAGATTAAAACCATTTTAGGACAATAACATGGTCAGGATTAAAACCACTTTATTACCAAAAAACTTGTAGGTTTAAAACTAGTTAAAGACAAAATCTTGGACAAAAACTTGGTCAAGATTAAAAATATTTTATGACTAAAAAAATTTCAAGATCAAAAGAAGTGTATAAAACAAAACTTAACAAAAGCATGACTTTAGATTAACATAGAGCTTAGGACTTGTCCAACAAATACCGACGTGGAGTCGTCAGGGTGATCAACTATAAACATGGTGTAACGAACTTGCGATATTCACGTGCAAATCTCGCGAGTGTCTGGTGGTGCTAGTCATCACTGTCTTATGATGGTGCTGTAGAAATTGTGGTGATACCATTCGACCAGTTAATACACGTATCATTCAGACAACCAGGTGATACTGTAATCCCAGCCTCGTTGCTAACACTAACCATAATCCTAACCATGAGCCGATCTCTAGCTTTGATGTTAATCTTAATCCTGATCTTGTCCCTGATCCTAATCATGACCCCGGTACAAAAACACCACCAAAAATGCCGTAATATGATATTGTATTGTATTATCTTACCGTCGTTTTTACAATAACACAGAGCTCATAACTCAAGCCGAAAGCAAATCCCAGTTTAAAAAGATGGGAGAGCGTGGGCAAGTCGTCTGTGTGATTTACGACACACCGCTGTCTCTGTGACCAGCGGTCAAGGATAGCAGTAAATATTGGTTCCGGTAAACAAATAAATAATTCATGAACCTGGCTAATGGTATACATCGTGATTTAGTCGGTGATGTTGTATGTGTTTTATGTGTGTGGGTAACGACTAAAGCTAATGGTATACACCGTGATTTAGTCGGTGATGTTGTATGTGTGTTAGGTTCGTGTGTAATGACTTAAGCTAATGGTATACATCGTGATTTGATGTGTGCAAGTGTATGTGTGTTTTGTTGTTATGCAGTGGTAGTATACACCATAATTTTGTATGTGATGTTGTATGTGTGTTATGTTTGTGGGTAATGACTAAAGCTAAAGGTATACACCGTGGTTTAGTCTGTGATGTTGTATGTGTGTTATGTTTGTGGGTAATGACTTAAGCTAATGGTATACATCGTGATTTGATGTGTGTAAGTGTATGTGTGTTTTGTTGTTATGCAGTGGTAGTATACACCATAATTTTGTAGGTGATGTTGTATGTGTGTTACGGCTTGTAAAAAATGACCGAAGTTCGTGATACACAGTATGATTTGGTGTGCCAAGATGTATGTGTGTTGTTTGCTGAGTGTCCCGTAAAGATCACACAGTGTAGTAGGGTCGGGGGAGGGGTGTGGGAAGGGCTATGAATTTGGTCACAGTTTTCTACCTGATGGAAAGTTTGAAAATAAGGCTCGAAAAACATTAGATCATTAGACGTTTGTAAAAATTTTGAAAAAAAAAATGTTGATTTTCTTTGTCATATGTGTTTACTTTACTGAGTGATGTTTCCTGACATCCATTTAGAGGGTTTTATTGTGACAGTATGTGGCGGTAGGTTGGACATACAATTACGTCACGACCCTTAACACAAGCACATGTTCTTTAGTTCTTATCAACTTAAACCTATTCCTTTTTCTTTGCCAGATCTTCAAGATCTTCAAGATGTCTTCTCCAGACTATGATTCCATCAGTGAAAACAACGCACCCATTTAGAGATTTGGGTAGTTTTAAGTAATCACAAATACACATTCATGAAAAAGTTTTTTGAAATATTTATTACTTCAAGAATACTGGATTTACTTCAGAATTTTTTTGCGTGTGGATAGTACAAGAATTGTAAAACGAACTGATTTTTTCTACAACTGACGCGTCAAACGAAACAAAGAACGATGATACGACATACCTGGAATGTATTCAGCGCGATACCCTGATGGAGATTGATCGGCCCTAGACCCAAGACACGCCCTAAAGATGTTCGTGAGGAAGGGCACGACCTTGAGGAAAAAGCACCAGTCGATCAGACGACCGAGGCGGCCATCTTTGCAGCATGACCCGGAAGTGGGGGAGACGTCACCGGTCAACGTGCCGACCCAGCCCCCGGCTCCGTCCAATGCGTCCAGCGCGTCCTCGACCTTGGTGAGTACATGTGCACGTGCGTGACGTAGAGGTCACGTTTTTCTAGACTTGACGTTGGTCATGTTTTACTTGTAGGTGCTCATCGTAACCAGTGTTTCTTCCAGACTTTTTTCTCCGGGGGGGGGGGGGGGGAAGGGGGCACTTGATATTTTTTTGAGGGGGGACGGTCTACATTTTCTGGGCGGGGGGGGGGGGTCTGCGGGTGGGGGGTCGGACACTAGTAAAAGTATATGTTTACTATATAAATTCCATCTCGTCCGGGGGAGGGGGGGCGGTAGACTTTCTTTGGGGGAGGGGGGAGGCGGAGATGCCTGGAAGAAACTCTGATCGTAACCAATGTCTTGACTTGCTATTTGAATAGTTTCTTGTTGTTTTTAAGCTTCTGGTTAACTTGACGTTTCCTAGAAGTGTTCACCGTATCTGATTACAATATTGAAATAACATTTTCAACCACAACCACAAATGGCAATAACATTTTAGAGCATTACTACTAAACATATATGTTTCAAAAAGTTACATCTGGTTGTAGTGTAAATCGTTTGATAAAAAACAACAACACTGTAATAGTTCGATGCTGATTCATATTTGATTAGAATAAAGAGCCCTAGAAGCACTTACATACACATACACGTACGATTTAGTGGCGTGGCTGTTATGGAGACTGAGCTTTAGTATACATTTAAAACATAGTGAGGGCTATGTTTAAAGTTAAGGGTTACAAGCATTGGTCGTGTTTTGGCTTAGATCTTGAGTTTAGGGTTATGTTCGAGATAGATCTTTGCAGTCGATACCAGGTTTACTAATGTAGCTATCAGGTATCGTTGTATTCGATACTATCTTACAAACACGAAGCTTTGATGTATTGTTGTAATCGATACCTGCTTTAGTAATATGTAGCTACGAGGTATTGTTACAGTTGATACCAGCTTATCTGCGGCTAATCAACGATTACAAAATCTCATCTGGTAGAATCAAGCGATGCCTACACCCACCCATAACCACCCACACCCACCCACCACAACCGTAACTGGTCAACCTTTAATCACTTAGCGCTTTAATCTACCTGAAACGTCCACAGGATTATCCCCACGTGGGTGTTAATCCCCATACTAACACGGAATTGCGCCCAGGACTCTTAAATCTCAGCGTTATTTTCAGCGTTTTTAATTTCCTTTCAAGGAACAAAAATAGCCAAAACATTTTCCCGGAGTCGACAAAAATAGAAACCTAGCGAAAAGACAACCTTAAGACATTCACAAAACCATGTCGTAATTTATAGAAGTTTTTTGGCAAAATGAAATTTTCTAATTGTCGTAATTGTGATGGAGGCGTGGGTGGGGTGGGTTGGGGGGGGGTGTCTAAATTTGTCTGGTTCCTGGTTACCTTTGTCTAGACTCTAGACCGTGAGCGGACAGGAAACGGACAAATCTTTAGACCGGAAGTTGTCACAGTGGTCCAGCTGAACATGGACGCCCGTCTTGGTCGAATGGAAGAAGTTTCCCGCGTGAATCGCTCATTAGCATGAACATCACGCTCGAGAGTTGAACTCACAACGAGGCTGGCGACAGGACGACATAGAGTTGAACTCATACCGAGGCTGGCGACAGGACGACACGAAAACACTAAACGTTCCGTCCTTCATCAGACGACAAGAGCACTCGGAAATAATTCAAAGATTTGGAGAGCAACTACAGCCACGGCTAGATTAAGTCCCCTGCATCTTTACTTATGGCCCCGCTTGTTTTCGGATAATTCGATAAAAAATAAAACACTTCAGCGATCTTTCAACAATACATACCTAACATAAATAACCCAATTCTATAGACAGATTTTAAATGTGAAGGTGGAACCGACAAAACTTAAACATGTTTTTATTTTAGTTTGAATGACCCACTATGTCACTGAAACAGGTGAACTCTACTTCACTTGCCCCATGGACCGTCAGGTTCGAAAAATACTTTTCTTACTTTTATGCTGCGTTTTAACATTTCAATTTATATATATATATATATATATATATATATATATATATATATATATATATAGATGTATACATATATATATATATATATATATATATACATCTATATATATATATATATATATATATATATATATATATATATATATATATATATATATATATATATATATATATATATATATATGTATGTAATTTAAATTGAAAACGTTTTATTTTTTCTTTGTATGAACAAGCCCAGAGGTTCCCAATTATCTTGCAACAAAATAATTAGAATGCATTTATTAACACCTGCGGCTAAAACCTGGTTAAGTTAGCCGAATTTACAACCGCCTTGTGCAGTTGTCTGAAATTTTACGGCCAGTCAATCTTCATCAGGGCGGTTCCTATATGAGCTAAATTACATTTCTTCTCCATTTGTCGGATTTGTTTCTTCATCTTAACTCCTGTCCCATCTTTTAACCCTCCCATCTTTGTGTTTCGCAATTTAACTCTTTACCCTGTCCCATCTTTTAGCTCCCCCCCCCCTTGTTTCACCATCTTAACTCTACCCTGTCCCATCTTTTAGCCCTCCCATCCTTGTGTTTGTGCCTCCCCCACCCCCACCGTTTCCTCATCTCTTTTCTAAAAGCTATCGTCTGTTCTAGCCTTGTCACATCTGGGTGCCCCCCCCCCCCCTCCCCATGTAGTCACTGTTGTTTCCTGGATTTCGATGCACTGTTTCTGTTTTCCCACAACCTTTCTTACATTCCTCTATTTCTTTCTTTCCCCATCTCGTATACACGCGCTGTGTCGTCAGTCGGGTCACAACTGATCGAGACTTTATTTCTGCTATCCTGCTGCTCCCCCCTGGGTCTACTCACCACACGCACACACACACACGCACACACACACATACACACACATATACACACGCACACACGTACACATTCACACAAGCACGCACACACACACGCATACACGCACGTACACACAGACACGCGCACACACACACACTTTCATCCATATTTCGTTTTTTTTATCTCACACAGGTTGCTAAACCTCAATTTGTTAAAATCCCAACCCACACCCATTCCTCTACCCGCCCCTGGTTCGTTATCCTGTTATCCTCTATCCTATTATCCGCTCCATTATTATCTCTTTCTCGTTCTCTATTTATCCCCTCCCCATGCCTCTTTACCATTATCCCAAAACATCACAGCTACGCCCCCCCCCCCCACCTTTCACCCCACCCCCACCCCACCTTTCACCCCACCCCCACCCCACCTTTCACCCCACCCCCACCCCATCCATTTCGTTTTACAGCCGTCCATCAACAAAGCTACAGCTCGGAAAATGTCGTTGACGACAATTCGGGGTGCGACATTTTTACCACTCCATCTCCCCTGCCCTGCTAATAGACCGCCACTCATCATTTCCAGCATCGTTCCAGAACATTGATGCTAGGTTAAGAACATTGATGCTAGGTTAAGAACATTGATGCTAGGTTAAGAACATTGATGCTAGGTTAAGAACATTGATGCTAGGTTAAGAACATTGATGCTACGTTAAGAACATGGACACTAAGTTAAGAACATGGACACTAGGTTAAGAACATGGGCACTAAGTCAAGAACATGGACACTAAGTCAAGAACATGGACACTAAGTCAAGAACATGGACATTAGATTAAGATCATGGATATTAGATTAAGATCATGGACACTAGGTAAAGAACATGGACTCTTTTAAGAACATATACGTTAAGTTAAGAACATGGACCCTGTTAAGAACATGGACGCTAAGAAAGAAAGAAACAACAAAAAGTAGTCAACACATCATAACCTTCACAAAGATAACAAAGATAAAATTTCAGACGCTTACACACACAACAGACCGTGAAAACATCAAAGCAAACAATGAGCCGAATTACCGCCTGCTGTATATATTTTCTTTATTCATGCAGCAATTGCATATAAGTAGGTTTATGCAGCGTAAGAATATGGATGTAGTTTTGCATGAACGGTTTGCATTGAATTGTTATTGATATTAGTTCACGGAAAACCAAGGAGTAGCCAAAACACATCCTTCCACACATACACACCACTTCCTTCCACACACATACACAACATCCTCCCACCCATACACAACACACCCTTCCACCCACACACACACACCAAATCATCCCCCACACACAAACCAAATCACCCCACCCACACACCACATCACCCCACCCACACACCACATCCTCTCACCCATCACACACAACTCACCAGAACCAACCATCTCCACTCAGTTATTAGAGACACCAACACGATTACAGAATTAACAGACCAGGCACACCAAATACTGGCCATCAACAAAACTGGGTCGTGCCACTTGGAGCTTACAGTCATCCCTGGACAGGAGTCCTAGCCACCGTCCGTGGGAGTCGATTCATTAATTTCATCGGCGGTGTTAGACCACTCATTAATGTCATCAGCGGTGTTAGACGACTCATTAATTTCTCTCACCAAGAGCCGCCATCATCCTCCAGAAACCGAGAGTTTTAGCGCGAGAAATGTTTTCTGAGTGCCAGACAGTTAAGTATCAGAAAGTCTTTGAGACCGTCTCACGAGATTAGTTGAAGTAAAATGCTGTAACATGCGTGATGTGACGTATGATATATACACGATAACAAGGCGTTTTGTTATACGCTTACACGACATGATGTGGTTTATTTTAACACACTCAGTCATTTTTTTATATAAATAAAAAAAAAAATAACAAAGAATGAATATAATGATCGATGTAAAAAATAATAATGTTTAATTTTAAGGGTTCATTTTTAAATGTAAAGTCATTAATAAACACAGACCAGCAGCACAGCCTTGGGAAAACATACAGGTCAGCGAACTGGTCAATGTAGACATACAGGGTTTCTGACATATTGTTCACTGTCTGGTCAACATACAGGGTCCATGTCAACATACACGGTCAATATCAACATACAGGATCTATGTCATCATACAGATATCCTGCTAACAGGTTTCGACTACCTGC